ACAAGCAGAAATTTGAAGATATGAATTGATATGAAATTGCTTTTATATGTTTCTCAGAGTAACTTGATGTATTCCACAACAAAAGAATACATTAGAAATAAAACAATAGATATAATAAGAAATAACAAACAATAAAATACATAAGAAAATAAATAGTTGAAAATCGCATCAGATTTGCATAAATTATCATTATTAATTACATCAGATAACTATTTTGTGTTAGAAAAGAAGTTTCATATGAATGATGAGTTTCAACATTCAAAAAGTGGAGTCTGACAATTTTGTAATGATTCTAGTTCTCTAAATATAGTTCCAGATTTGATATTCATGAATGCGTAATTTGCGTATTCATAATTTATGCAAATTAACCTATGCATTTTCAAATTTCATAAAAATAATGAAACCTCATGAATTTGAGATGAAGGAAACATTTATTCAATACATTTTCAAGATTCTTCACAAGTCTACGGACAAATATGTAGTTTTCTGTAAAATGCATAAAATTAGCATTTTGCATAATTAATTAGGCTATAATGACAAAAATTTGCATATTAGGAAAAACTAATTATACCATCTTGTTCCTTACGTAAATATCTACGAATATGCAAATTTTCATGTTCATCGGACATTCAACGGCCGAGATCATGGGGGGGGGGCCTCCCAGGCCCCCCCCCCCCCCCCCCCCCCCCAGTCAGAGGGTGCTCAAAATAGCCCAGTACAGTAAGGGTTAAAACATTATCTCAAAAAATGCTAGATAGGGTTAACCAATAGACCACAATATTTCTCATAGACCTCACATGCAAAGCTGACAAAGGTCCTTTGCATCTATTTTCAACTTTCAATTGAAAAAAATCGACATGATGCCAATTACATTTGATCAAAAAAGAAAAGGCACCTCCCATAGTCTCATGCAGCTACATGTATATCATTCCAAAATGTGGGAGAAAATAGAGCAAAAATAAGTGAGATACTGCACAAAGAACATTGTCATGTAGATTCAAGATGTGAATCAAATTCACCTTCCATAAGCATAACACGCAAATTATGGTATGGATAGGAATCGTTTCTGTCAGTTTGGGCCATCAAACCATTTAAATGAATGTTAAATGGCTTATAAAAATGGCCCTAAACTCTTTGATCTTAGTGTTTTAAAGCACACTTGAGCTTTTCATGCATTTTGATGCCTGCTATATTGAAACAGGAATCAAATTTGGTACACTTATATATAATAAGATTGATTCTCTTGTAACATTCTGAGCCATTAAAATATTGTACATGTAAGTTTTTTCTACATGTAAGTAAATAAAGGTTTAAATGGCTTTTTGGAATGAGCCCAATACAAGTAATGCATTAATCATCATACCGGTATTTTAGTATAATGGTTAAGTTAAAGAAATGATCTTACAGTTACAGGGTACGAATTCGAGAGTGAATTAGAAACAACTGTGTCATAAGTGATTGATGGATTTTAATTTAAAAAATATGTGACATGAATGACATAATCCAGAGCTTTCAAAAGACATAAAATTTCATAAAATTTCATATTTATTTTTTCAATGATATGAAAATCTTCCTTGATAAAACGTGATTTTATGTGTCCCCACTCAACGATGTGATACCTCGATCCTATAAGTTTCCAACAAATCATGCCCATACAAGACTGCACTGTATCCCCGTTGCCGGGTAGTAACTCTCAAATGCTCTAGTCTTGGTAGAGTGGTCACAATCGGCAGAGAACTTGGAAGGAAGAGATATAACTTGACTTTTTTTACCATTGGCATTTTTACCATGGGCTGCATGTGCATGACGGTTAGACTAAACCCCCATGATGTAGCATTCTTTATACATGGTCCTACTCAAGAAAGCAAGCATTGACTGTATAATCCCCTGGCTTGTTTCCATATATAGAAAAGAGTTTTATATGATATATTCAGTAATGATTTGTACGATCTATCAATTATTTCTTCAGTTCAATACAATTTCTGGAAATGCTCTAATTCCATTACTAGCTTCACTCGAAAACAGTACATCATCAGTTTTATGATAAATTGCTATATATGCAGATTCCTCTGAATCAACAAAATTGCGTTCTCGTTCTTCCAAACATTTTTCGTCATCCATAATGACATATCTTTTTCCATTACGGACCTTTGCTGTATAATGCCCACTGCTTGCACATTGCCCATGGTGCTGTATGACAGATACCAATTGATAGCTGGCAAGTGACGTTTTGGTTTTAACACACACCTTTTCTTTGAAATTCACTCTGGTATGGATTTTGACATTGTTTGGGAGTGCTCTTAGCAGTTGAATCATCATCACTTCAGGGCTTTGAATGATCTCCTGTTTTAAGAGTGCTTCTTTACCTGGACACATATCGCATCTTTGTGCTACTCTTTCTTCAATTTTGAAACGATTGTCGATTATATCTTGAATATTGACCGATTGAAATTTAAATGTTGCATCCGGAACAGGCCATTCCCAATATTTATATAAATGTGTGCTATAAGATGTGAATCCACAAGAAAGACATGTTTTCTGTAAATGTAATTTACTCCAAATCAATTCCAGCATTTCACAAGCTTCTAAGAATGGAAAAATTGCTTTTAATATAAATTCAAAAGCATCTTGTAGTTCATTGTATTTAAAGATACAGGTATCACATACCGCTCTGTAAGCAATTTTTATTTCAGACATGGGCAATATGTTTCCCTGATGGTGACCCCGTAATAAATTATGCAAGATTTTAAGTAGCTCATCATTAGCAACGTCACCAAAAGAAATCTTATCATAGTACTTTAAGATGAAAAATTTTAATGGAGGAATGCGTATCAATGATTGTATGACCGAGTTCAGCCAACAGTTATTAGATTTATTTTGCATTCCCTTCATTTCGTCGCAACGCATATATTGAGCATCACGGTCATACATCTTTTGAAATAAGTAATATGTTGTATTTTTCTGTTGTTTTTTGTCAACCGTTACAGATTTATCAGAATAGTAATTTTCTTTTCCAGGTCTGTTAATGTAGGGACTATTTTTATGGATTGGATTAAGCTCTTCATCATGATTGCTTTGTAAACTTTGTTTGATCTTATCTTTGATAATACTCCTGTTTCTATTCCAGTATAAGCGAAGAGAATTAATTGATTCATCATGTCTTGAAGTGGGCAATCCAAGTTTTAAAGCAACCTTTTTTAGTATGTTGTTTGATAATACATCAAGCAGTGGTATATTTCCCTCCATGCGTATTACTGTGATGAATGCATATGTTACCTTTTTGCTCTTGACCAACCTTCCATTCCCGTTGTCCGGAGCACCTCCAGCGAGTCTTACAGCCTTGGAATGCCTTTCCTGAATTGTCTTCCCCAACTATAGATTAGAGCAACAAAAAGACAGAAGAGACAGTAAGAATGAATTATTATTTGAAAAGCATAACATGTACAACAAAACTACATGTATATACATACAAATATAGGTCCACATTACATCACAAGTACTATATTCATTCATTTTAAATCATAAAATATAATTGCTGATGATGTCTAATGATTGTATCTGCTTTTCATCTTAGCAACCAGGGGACTGATGGCTTCAAGTCCTCTGCGAGGGACTGGGTAATGAGGATTAATGTATTACCAATGGCCACGAGCGTATTGACTTGGTTTCGAATTTGGGAACTCCCTGTTACAAGACCACAGCTCTACCCCTGAGCCATCACGTAATCATCAATAATTGAATAATTTCTGATTAATTCCTGTCTACATGTAAATAGAATCAATGTCAATACTACCTGAATGTAATCTATGTTTAACCTTCTTAGATAATTTGAAAGTTTCAACTTTAAATAGTCCTGACCTATTGATGCATTACGATACATCGTTGTCGCTTATTATTATGCACTGTACGTATTGCCAGTTTGTTTAATTAACATGAAAGAGTTTGGTGAAAATGTCTGGGATAATACTAATCATGTTTCTCCACATCAGAAACTTTACTTAAATGGCATATTATAAGCGTTGACAGAATTTTTAGAAAAGTATTTACACGATAACTAATATGTAGAAACATAATAGTACAAGTAAACAATATGCTAGGTGAAAATAGTATAGTGTGATGAAAGTGACGACCGCAAAATGCAGGCAGCTGGAAGGGAGAAGTTGAGATAGACGACTTAGTGTGCAAGAGAGAGAGAGAGAGAGAGAGAGGAGTGGAGAGAGAGAGGGAGGAAGAGTTGAGGGTGGGGGGGGGGGGGGAGGGATAGGTAGAGAGGGAGAGACATACAAAGGGGAAGGAGAAGAAAGAAGAAACGTAGTAGGTGGTCATCAACATACAATATTATAAAATGAAACTAAATGGATTATCGACTGTCTGTAGTAAAAAATGATGCTTCATATCAGCCATCTAGCAAATTGACAAACCAAAACGGAAGCAATTTTTATAATTCAAGTTTGATCGTTATTCATTGTATCCATTATCAAAGAATATTGTGATTACAATTTATTTGTTATATTCATGGCTCTGCAAGATAAACAAATATGTCCTGAGTTCGATAGTAATCCATCTGTCGGTTCTACTGATTATGCATTCAGAAACTATTTACAGGCATACATAATGAGCCCCATGACGTTTGACCTCATGACCCTTAAATCTAATTGGCTCTGCAAGATACAAAAATGACCCAAGTTTGGCAGGAAGCCATCAATTAGTTCTTCAGATAATGCAATGATCACAAGCTATTTTTACATACATAATAAGGTTTAGTTAAGCCTGGCATCTGGTACTTTTTTTTCTTTAGAAACATAGCTTCTTCTTACATGTACATAATGTGGATTGAGGAGAGGGTAAAAGTTAAAACTGCTTAATTAAGGTGCATCCCTCCTGTTTTATTTGTTGTAGACAGTGGTGACTTACTTGACTTATGGCGTCCATGCAGGCTAGGGGCCTCGGGATGGCTTCTGTATGGTGATGGTACATGTATGCCAAGTTTTTCTGTCCGCTGTAGTATTGCATCGATATCGATATCCTGCAAGTCAAGGGGGGACCTTGCTCGTTGCCGATTCTGGTGTTTGTGAGCCTTCCTAGGCCTGATATTATTTGACATGAAATTTTATTTGATTTGATATGATTTGATTTATTGATTTCTGACATTGCTTTTAGTATTTCCCCTGGTGTAGCATCCGGCCATCGAAGGTCTTGCAAAGGCTTCAACATGCTCATCACCACTGTATGTGCAATTATATAAATGAGACAATAAAGATATAGATTTTCCAATTTGGAAGTATTGCAATTTTAATAAACGTTAATTAATTCCAGATTTGTAGACAAAACTATGTACCGATACCAATTCTAAAACATTAATATTTCCCTCAAAATATCACTAGGAGTGTGCTGTAATCCATATGATATGGAATGCAGCCTATGATTATATTAGCAAGATCAGCTAAAGTAGTTGCAAATATTAAGTCTGTAAAATCATAATTTAATTATAATAGTTATGTTTTTAGATAATTACTCCTTCGAGGTTCATCTATTTAGAAGGGATTACTACTGTCCTTTTCTTCCATTGAACCATGTTTGCTTTAAAATGATGAATAAATTAGAACATGAACAAAGACAATCAAATTTTGATGAAGCCTTTTACCTGGTGCTTTTGTAAGCTGTTTTGATTTCACGTTTGGTTCGTTACATAACCAATTGAATCTGAAACCTTTTCTTTTTTAAAGCGTTTGTATTTATTTGCAGTACATGTTGGTCTTGTTATCTTGGAAATTATTAACATATTAACAAAATTCAGAAGAAATATGTATGAATTTTGACACAATTCTATAAAATGCTTATTATAAATGAAACTACTTAAATACTACGCTTGGGCCCCATTGCATAAAACTCAGCGTGGACGGTATTTATGCCATCAATAGTAGCTTAAATAGAAACTTTGGTTTGATTGGCTGAACGAGCTCATGGGTTTCTTTGCTATTTTTTGTGTTTTGTGTCCAGTAACACAGCTTCCTACAGAGAGAGTTTGGTGCATAGGGTAGATGGGGCTGGTGCAATCAGCCCGACTTTGGGATTTGTTTTGGGTTTGTTCATTGTTGACGTTTCTGTCAATGAGTTAGATAGTCCAAGTAATTTTGATGCGTCATATATTATGGGTAACATGGGGTAATTATTTCGAGACAGGCTCCTGGTGTAGTATGGTTGGTTTCCGAGACACATTCCATTATCATTTTGGGCAATTAACCACAAGATTCTTCTTACCTACAGTATTTCCTCTGTCTCCTCTCTCCAATGTGCCTGCAAGATGTAGGCATCTCACAGGCTTCATCTGTTTAATGCAATAAGGAAATACTCTGCCATAAATGTTTTTTGGGTTTTGTTTGCACAAGAAAGATATCCTTCTAAAGACTGAAGATACAACGTTGATTCAATAACAAAATTGTATTCTCATAAGATATACATGTACAATACGAAATTTAAGGGATAGTTGAGTTCTGTTTTCAGACCGCAAATGCCTTCAAAGTGCATGGTTATTGCTCTTATTCTTATCTATGATATTTCTAGTGCCCTTTTAGAATCTAAAATTGCTATGAAGGTAATTTTAGACCCCAAGATGTGTGAAATTTAGCCAATACAATCATACCAATTCAACTCCACTTTCAAAAAAACACAGTGACCGTTAATCAATTATTTAATTAAAAATAACAATACATAAGCCGGCTAATTGTGGATAATATAAGCAACACGAAAATGCCAACAAAAAAGCCACCAATCGGCATTGGCTGAAATATGAAGTTAAAGGCGTTATTTCGTTTTTTTCAACATTTTTTTCAAATTTTTCAAAATATCTAATATCTGTGGTGGTACACAAGTATTAGAAATCGTTATATTTATGGATATTTCAGCCGTCTCTGAACTGATCTTGATTCAAACAAACATGATTTTGTCATTAAAATATTATGTTCTCTCAAATTTGACACTTAGTTTTTCATTATCTCACAATAAAATATTTTGTGTAGCACCCTCTGCAACAGAACTCAACTATCCCTTTAAAAAAATGAAATGTCACATTCTCTTCTCATTAGCAATTAAATTAAACGGCAAATTCCTCTACATATTTCTGTCCGTTAAAAAAACAATCATGTATCTTATAACAACATGTATGAAATGAAATGTTCCAACCATGTTAAATTAAATAAGAAACAAAAGAAACATTGTGAACTTTTGATTTTGGGTTTTAGTTATTTCGAACTCTCTTGATTGTGCAATCATACAAAATTGGAAAATGTTGTCCGTGCTTCATTGAAACTCTTACCGTCCTTGACTTTCCCCTGAAGCCGTTTAGACGGGAATGAATGTTGACTGGAATGTCCTGAAATTCATAACAATGATGAAAATTATCATGACTTTTATAAATGAAGTGATAACATGAAAGTCTATAAAGCAGACGGTCATGTCGATAAACAGACTTTATAATAATTAAAATTTATTTGAAAAATTAATAAATAAAAATATATCACCTACCTACAACTACAGGCCTGTTATTTTATGGTTGTTTTGAAACAAACATAAATCACTTAAACACACTTTTACCAAACAATCTTTACTGTACATATCGATCATACTTCTCCCTCCTCCTCTTCCTCCTCTTCTTCATGTTCTTCTTTTTCTTCTTCTCTTTCTTCTTTTTGTCCTCATTATAACAATATTATGGATAATTTTGTTTGCAATTAGTATTATTATTATCATCAAATATATTGCAATTATTATAATTATTCATATTACTATTTATCATTATTATTATTATTATTATTCAAACACAAATTGGCAACTCTTGCCACCTTCTTCTTTCATTTTCTCTTTCCACAAAAAATCTGAAATTTATATTTTTCCTCAAGAATTTTTTTTAGTCAAACATGCATCTGAACGTAACTACCAGTATTGCAAATATGCCTCTATATGCAACCCCTGTATAGAAATCAAATTAACAAGTAAACGCAAAGCGTAGCATCCCCTCGCAGGGTACAAATGGCCTATTATATAAGTCAGAACAAGTTACCTCCATTGGACAGTGTTGGACTACAGTGTATACTATTATATTACTAGGCAAGGAAGTTCACATTTTCACATATATAATTAGGTGTTTTTGCATATTTAATGAACTATGACCTTTCACCTTTGACCTACATACTCAGAAATCGAACTTAGACTGTACATGTATTCTGATACCATGTACCTTCATATTAAATTTCATTAAAATTTGTCAAACATTACTCAAGTTATCAAATGAAAACCAGATTCGCATATTTAATGAGCTATGACCTTTGCCCTACATACTCTGAAATTGAACTTGGGCTGTGTTTTGATACCATGAACCTTCATATCAAAGTTCATTAAAATCTGTCAAACAATACTAAAGTTATGGATCGGAAACCAGATTCGCATATTTAATGAGCTATGACCTTTGACCTACATACTCAGAAATTGAACTTAGGCTGTGTTTTGAAACCATGTACCTTCATATCAAATTTCATTAAAATTCATCAAACATTACTCAAGTTATCGAATGGAAACCAGATTTGCATATTTAATGAGCTATGACATTTGACCTTTGACCTATGTACTCGGAAATTGAACTTAGGCTGTGTTTTGATACCATGAACCTTCATATCAAAGTTCATTAAAATCTGTCAAACAATACTAAAGTTATGGATCGGAAACCAGATTCGCATATTTAATGAGCTATGACCTTTGACCTACATACTCAGAAATTGAACTTAGGCTGTGTTTTGAAACCATGTACCTTCATATCAAATTTCATTAAAATTCATCAAACATTACTCAAGTTATCGAATGGAAACCAGATTTGCATATTTAATGAGCTATGACATTTGACCTTTGACCTATGTACTCGGAAATTGAACTAAGGCTGTGTTTTGATACCATGTACCTTTATATCAAATTTCATTAAAATCCTTTTAACATTTCTAAAAGTTATCGTTCGGAAACCAAATTTGTTACGGATGCACGCACGGAAGGATGCATGGCAGCCTTACTATATCCCCTCTGACTTCGTCGGCGAGGGGATAAAAACAAAGAAAATAAAAGTTCATGAATTTTTATTTACAGAGCAAATTGGAGAGGACTGCGTAAGAGAGGTCACAGTGGTGCACATTTGTGTTTGATTGATCACAACTTTAAAAAATCATAACTTCCTTATTTTTAATCAGAATTTGCTCAAAAATTCACAGAAATGTTCCTCTTAATTCTCCTCTTCTATCAAAAGGCAATTGAATATCATGGTGAACTTCCCCTTAAATGTGACCTGCATAATTATAAGAAATTAACGATAACAAAACAAACGAACAATGAACTTAGTAATTTTTGCAATCACTTAAGTTGATTTGACAACTAAAGGTTATTTTCCCACTAAAGGCCATTTTAAAGCCCTTTCGTTTTGAGGGAAGCTCTGAATTAGTTTTTTCTTTCAAATGCCATTGGAATTTAACCTTTTCATTTTTGGGGGGCCTGCAAATGAGACATACTGTAGGATATGGGTGGGATGAAGATTGTCAGATGGGGCGTGGCTTTGTGTGCGTTGTTCAGTTGTAATTCCGAACCAAACAGCTGGGTGTCATGTGACTACGTTCGCAGTGTTTACCTGTTGTTACTGCATACTTTGACCCGGTTGAGGTCACGTTCTTGTTGTAATATTGATAATAATCTATGGTAGATGTGGACCCGTTACCCAGAATGTGCAAATGGCTCATTGCTATTCCAAGCCGATGAGATCTTGTTGAGCGGATTATGATTTACATTTCGCCGATGCCAGCCGGCTGCATTAATTCGTCGCTGTTTTCACGAAGTGACGGTAGTGAAAAAAAATTGCATTCACTTTGCATTACGATTTTCCTCACTACCGTCACTTTGTGAAAACAAGGACAAATTGTCACAACATATTACCCTCTATCCCAACCCCTCATCTTTTGTCTGATCAAAGAATATATACTGATTGAATGAACTCTAATTGAAGTTGTCGACAGAAGCATTTTGGGGAAAAAATCAGAAGTGTACCGTAGATTTTATCATTTGAGCACATCTCATACTTTTACAGATTAGTTCATAGCTTGATTATTGATAATAATCAGTGGTAGATGTGGACCTATTACAGAGACTGCGCAAATAGCTCATTGCGAGTCCGAGCTGGCGAGATCCCGTCCAGCGAATTATGATTTTTATTTCGCTGATGCTAGCTACATATAACTGGCTGAGTGGCTGTTCAATTGAACATTAATTAACAACCACCAATGACTAGACTGCGTTCCTTGAGCTGGCAGGGCATGCTGAACTTTGCATGACCCATCTCACGTCACAATTAGCTAGGTTTGCTTTTCCCACTATCAACTTTTAAGGTATTATTATCAGAAAGCTTAGAATTTACAGAATATTTTTTGAAGGCCCAAGCAGAATAGAGCAAAGCTCCTGCCCACAAGTCAAAGTATGGTCAAAATCATTCATTGCACTGTAACTCTCTGACTCTCACCGAGTGTCAGCTGCTTGAATTGACCGCGCCCATTTTCAATTTCAAATTTAATGCTGCTCATGCAATATGCAGCCAATGATGATGGGAGCCCTTATTACATACAATTCTATGTGCTCCGCACACTTCTATGGGGGCCAGTTAAGGCTTGGTAATACTTATTTTGCATCATCACCAACTTCTAAGACTAACCGTAAGCCGGCCATAGCCATAGTGCTACAGGCTGCATAGCCACAGGTAGCTGCTGCATAGGCCTAATGTACTAAGTTTACAGGGGAATAGTACCGGTATAGCCTACTGCGTACTGGCACGATTTGTGATCCTGCCAAAAATCCGTTAAAATCTTATTTTAGCGGATGCATATCCGATGGATTTATACTCTCTGCCTTCTCTTTATTTCCAAATTTAGGCCTAGACTAAAAAATAATTGGTTTCACTTACCAGCGTGACTTTATAATGCATTTAATAATGGTCCTTTTTCAGGAAACTAACTCCGTGTCGAAAATCTGCTCACGAATGACGTCATTGTACGAAAACGTAATATGGCGCGCCAATTGCCCAATAATTTAGATAAAAACTGCTCGAGCGATAAACTATAGCGTTTATCGAGGATAACTATGTTTATCTCGATAGCCTATATTTTAAACACTCAGTTTATAGCCGATAAACAGAGTTTATATCAAGAGAAACCAAGTTGTTTTATTGATTGATGAACATATCAGCGATTAACAGTCTTTATTTAAAAAACAGTGTAGTATCGACAGGGGCGGCCGAGCAACTTTCAAAGTGGGGGGGCACCAACAAAAAAGGGCACTTTCTGGAAAAAAGGGCACCTACAGTGGGAAATCTCAAAGCGAAAATATACAAATTTTAGACATTGGTATATACCCC